GGGGGGGGGGTCGCAAAAATATGCCTGCAGATGGTCACGGCCAACAAAGGGGAATTTCACGAGGTCCATTTCCTCTAAACAATTTCTTTTTGAATAAAACATCCCAAGAGTCCAGGATCAAGTATCACTGTCTCATACAACTTTGCAACATTCCACTTGGAGACTGGTGTCATGGCGGGTAAGGTACAGAGGAAGGAGTCAATTTATTGGTCGACAGTTTGCTGTCCCAGGCTTGTAACCGGGGGTTGTAGATTGTTATGTTGGTAATGATGACAGCTGCTATTATTTTCATTAATAAGGAGCATTTGCATTATTTCCACGTGTTCGCTGTCTGGGAGATCGAGCGAGAGGGGATCATGTCCAGGAGATACTCGCGTTGACGATCCACAGCGGAAGAGCTCTTGTGCACTTGAGAGAGGCTGGGGTTGACGTAAGCCATAGTCACTCCTGCAGAACAACAACAATCTCTCTCAGTGCCTCTGCAACCTCTCCCGCAAACGGCACAGGAAACCAACGACATGCGATCGGCTGAAAAACCACACAGAAATAGGGCAAGCAGATGTCAACCCAAATACAGCGAGTGGTCATGTGTGCAGGAACAGAATACCAGCTTTGGTTAGAAAGCGGGAGAATCTGATCTGTAGTCTCGGACGGAGCACACAAAAATGGAGGACTACAGCTCAGGCTACGGCGTGAGGAGCCTTAAACACAAGAATGGTCTTTGATACAGGACAACTGCGTGTGTTCATGAACGAGTCAGTCGAGTCATCCCCCAAAGACTAATACATTCAGGGCACAGCAAGTTAAAGAGGCAGGGGATTGGAGATGAAAGAAGCAGAGAACCCTCAATGTGGCCCTAGATAAAAAGAGGCTAAATGAAGAAACACAATATAAAAAAAATATATAAAATAAAAAAAAAAATCAGTGAAAGTGATTCAGTGATTGTCGGTATGACAATGTTTACATATCAAATACACTGCATCTTAGTTTGCATTCTGTACAACTTACATCATAATTCTACTGCAAAAAAAAAAAAAAAAAAACAAACAAACATTCTCGAAACTATTAAATTAATATCAATTTCACTATGATACCCTAAAAAAACATTTTAATTTGTGCACTCTAATACACTATAGGGCCAAAAGTATGTGGACACCAGCTTTTCCAACATCTCATTCCGAAACCAAGGATATTTAATATGAAGCTGGTCAGCCCACATTTACTATAATAGCCTGTACTCTTCTGCGAAGGCTTCCCGTTAGATGCTGGTGGGATTTGGTGCCAATCAGGTTGGGTATAGATGCTGGGTGATCGGGTCCCTTTTCTGTGAATTTGTGTGACCCACCACTGCACAACTGATCTTGCTCCCAGACCTTTTGACCTTCACAAGCCCTTCCCTTGCAGTTGAACCAGGGCAGGAATATGGTGAAATGACCGTCATAGGACACCGTCTTTTTCGACAAGTGGAAAGTCACACCTCTTCGGTACAACCGCCCACTCTGCTACTGACGACTGTTGCAGGAGGCTGTGACTGTGCGCCAAATTACACACCTGTGTCAGAATGGGTGTGGCTTAACTAGGCAGTTCCTCTAATTAATCGGGGTGTCGTCATACTTTTGGCCGTATAGCACACGTTAGTGGGTGTCGGCCGGCCGGAGGATGGGATCTACCTTGGCTTGCGGGGCTCCGCTTCCTCCAGGCGTCGACGGCGGAGTTACGGCTGCTGCCCTTTCCCCCTGCGTGCACAGCATGCTTACCTGGCCTGCTGACCAGTGCGGCAGCGGTGACGGCGCTCTGGAGCTGCGCGGCCTGCGAGATGGAGTGGGCCGCCACTCGCCCCGCCAAGGCCTGGGCGCTCCGGGAGAGCTGGCCGGGGCTCTGCCAAGGGATGAGGGCGCGTGTGAAATACCGCCGGGCCGCCATCTTTACCTTCATTCGCTCAGTGTCGGTCGTATGCTGCTGCATCTACCCACCATATACCCACCATATACCACCCCATTTGTTAACCGTAACATTCCAAAGGCAGAAAATAACCCAAAGATATCCGAAAGCAAGAATAAACACACAAACTGACCACCCACACACGGAATACCCGTGTCATTCTGCACTGCCTACACACCGTACACTTAATTTGCCAACCAGTGGAAGAGCCTTAAGTAACTCCCCCCAAACCTGCATTCATTTAAACCTGCATTCATTGACACCGAGGCCAATAAATTTGCAGAAATACTCAGAAAACACTCCAAACACAAGCACGCTGTTGGCTAGCGTCAGTTCCTCTGTCAGTTTTGTAATTCATTAGCATGTTTTGGGAAATCGAGAGCAGAACACTTACGGAGGGGTGTCGAGTGACCACACCGAAGATGAAAAACAGGCCTTATGGTTACTGCGTACATATAGACAGCAGAGTTTGCAGACCTCCTGGCCTTTTCACATTACGAGAGCACTCAAAAATCACCAGTGCTGATGCGCTGAAAGCCGTACATGGGACCTTCTAAACAACCCTGTATGATGAAGCAGGAAGTCACCTGTTTGACAGTGGAATGATGGCGGTTGATGGTGACCCCCCGGCTTGGCTGCGGATGCAGGGGGGAGGGCCGGCCCTGCCTCAGCTGCTGGGACACCAGGGTCTGCTGCTCCACCTTGATAGCGGGGAGCACCGGGACGGTCTTGGAGGCGGGAGAGGCGGAGAGGCTCTGCTGCATGATGCGCTGCTCGATCTCCTGCTCCTGCTGCAGCGCCTTGACGAAGGCCGCCTTCAGCCGGTTGGTGTGCTCTGCCTTCAGCACCTTCTTCTGATTGGACGTCGTGCACTGCTCGCACATGACCGTGCCGCTCTTGTCTTGCCTCCAGCGAGATGTGAAGTCGGTCTTGCACTGGGCACAGGTGAAGGGCTCTTTGGGGGCAGGAGCCGTGGATGAAACCGGAGAGACCTGCAGCTTCCCTGTTTGATAGAACGCAGATCTCATATATCTAGAGCAGCACGGAGACACTCATCATTGCTCTGCCACTAGGGGGCGCCCGCCTACGCACCCTTGGCAACCGTGTCCAGAAGGTTCTGCACCACCTCTTCCAGGCCCACCAGGTAGATGAACTCGTTGTTAGCGGCCGAAGGCAGGAAGTTGAGGTCGGGCGTGGGTGGCTTGGGCGGAGGGATCTCCAGCAGGGTCTTCTCTAGCTGCTTGCGTAGGGCGAGCTTGGCGGCCGCCTGTCGGCTGGCAGGAGAGTCATTCACGCCGACCGCCGTCACGCTATTGGCCAGGCCGGACGTCACTGAAGAGCCTTTAAGGTTGGTCGGGGAGGCCTGTGACCAGAGAGAACGTTCTAGAACACACCGACCCCATGTCTCATTGGCAGCTCACTGTGTGTCACAACAATAAATTTACTCTCGAAGTTTGCCTGGGCTGACCGTTGGTCAGACGGCTCCCGTCGAAGCCGGCCAACCCAACACAATAACTCAGCCATTCCTGCCAAGCCAGAATCAGCATTTTCCCCCAGAGCCTCGATAAGTCAGCTTCTTTATCAGTCGTCAAAAACTTTCCCTCTGATGCCTGCCATTTTAAATCCTCTCTCGTTAGCGATTCCCAGTTTACTAGGCGGGAAGGAAGCTCAGACAAACATTTGGCTTTACACACACACAGCTCCTCAGCATTTCACACTCTGCAAAAATAGTGTGATATTTACATGGTACACTTCCGGTAAATATCCCCACCTGTGTTACACACAAATCTAAAAGGTTAGTTCTCAGCATTATGCTGGTACAAGCATCAAAACAGCATGCAATGTTTTAAATCATTTTTCCAGGAAACTTCTGGCCCAGACACCCTAGTGCTGAATCTCACTTCACACTGCCAGACGTAATAAGACAGCGGATGTGTATCCACTCCAAGGACAGATATAATAGCTAGCTTTGTGCTTCAGAGAGAAAGTAATTAGATATTATCTACCCTAATATTTACCCTCTGTTTACGTGGATACCAATAGCCTCTGTAACCAGGAGACAACCATCAAATACACCGAAAATTCATGCATTTTGACTTCTAGAACATTGCCGATATGGAGGAAACAGTCATACTATATACAACCCAGCTTTTGATACCTTTGAAGAGTGAAAAGCAAACTGTTACTACGCAAGGGTTAAAGCAGTGTCTAAACCGGTCCTTGAGGATCCTCAGACAATCCATGCCTTTTTCCCTCTGAGCTCCCTTCCAGACAGTCCACATTTTTGCTCCCAGCTGGGAGGGAGCAAAAATGTGGACTGTCTGGGGGTCCTCGACAGTTTGAGTCTTACTTTTAAATTAGTGTTTCTATCTACCACTGAGAGTCCAATTTTCACTGAATGCTGCCAATAGACAGGAGAGAAGGGAGTCTGTTTATGTCCTTCCCCATGCATTGCTGCAGGGGCAGGTCCAATACAGCACCCCCATGTGGACACCGGCATTATGACACAATGAAATTGGCTGGTGACCTGCGGGATGTTGACCAGGACGCTGGTGTTGGCGACGTTGGCGACGCGGATGAGGCCCTGCTGGATGATCCTCTGGCCCTGCACCTGCACGCTGGGCACGCTGGCGCGGGGGGCTAGCAGGAGCGGAGGTGGCCCCCCTGAGCTTGAGTGCTGCTGCTGCCGTAAGCCTTGGACCTGCTTGGGGGGGGGGGGGGGGGACAGAGATAAGGGCTGAGACGGCCACGCGCCAAAACGGGGGAGCTAACCTCTGGCATTGTGCGTTTGGCTGAGCTTAAGCTGAAATTAAACTAAGAAAGAGGAAGAGGAGAAAGAGGAAGGGGAGGGCCTGACCTGGGCGCCCCTGACCAAGGGCGGCATGACGATCTGGGCGTTCTGTGAGCCCAGCTTGGCGCACACCTGCTGGCCCCCCCGCACCAGTGGTGGTGGGATCACCGCACCCGAGCTGCGCCCTGATGTCACCTATCCGGAGCACAGGGGGCGTTAACGAGGGACCCTTCAGACAGCGTGCTTAACCAGGCGGCCGGCAGTCACAGAGGTCACAGGGGTCACACGTGGCCTCCCGGCCGGCTGCAGCTTTCCATGGCCCCAAACCGACACAGCTACACATCCAAGGACAGCAACCGCTCTAAAATGCTTATAAGTCCCATTCAGACCATGCTTAAGAGCACTGACACACACACACCAATAAACCAATGACATGGCTATATCACCATGTGCAGTAGGCCTGGGCTCACACACAATGAAAGGGCCCTTTAATACAGAGCTGTGCTTTGCATTCAGCTTCCAAAAGATGGCAGCAGAGAGTACAGAGCTGGATACTAGGGCCAGGAGGTCATATAACCATCAGAGCCTGAAATTTGCTCCGACATAACCTCATGGCATCTATAATGGTATCTATTAGTTAATTATGTTAATGCTATTGGTCAGACATTATAAACAGCTGTGTGAGCTACTGAACACGAACGCGTGCGCGCACACACACAGACACACACACAGACAGACGAAGGTCGAGTTGTTTGTGTTGAGCCCCCGGTGAAGCGAAGACAGGCCATCGGATTTTGGAGCCGATCCTGGATGATTAGAGTACATGAGCCACAAACTAACCTGTATGGGTCCTTTACTGGCTGTGATGCTGCCCCTGACCAGAGGAGGAGGGGTGGCCACAGATCCGGACGATCCAGCGGGCTGAGAGAGAGAGAGTGTGTGTATGTGTGTGTG